TTATTTAAAATCCGTTGTGGCAAGATTACTAAATACTAATACTAATCTTGCCACAGCGGATTTTTATATATTTTTACATGTGATATGCGAAGCAAAAAATTTTAAAAATCCGTTATGACAAGAGTTTGATTATTATTATAGTTCGTTGTGACAAAGTTACACGTATATATTAATATTACATTTGATCAACCAATAAAAATTATCATAAATCACATGATATGTTCGTACAATGTACTAAAAAAATTTTAAGCTCGTACGTACGTGTACGATACGTGCATGTGTACGTGTACGATTCCCAAGCCTGTACTAGTTTGTCGGTTTTTTGATTTTTTTTAATTTTAAAAAAATGAGCGATAATAACATATAATGGAAGCAATGCATTTAAACCAAAAAATAGTAACAATGATCTTATAGGAGGAATGAGCAATAATGATATAATGGAGGCAGAGTATTTAAACAAAAAATGATAATAATGTTCTTATAGAAACGACAGACCTGAAATAATGAAGCATCAGGTCATGTGACAATCAAAAAAACACCAAGTGATGTTTGCAGATTTAACATGGTCATAACATCGATCAGATAAAGTATAACCTGATTCTAACTTATAGTATCAAGATAAAGCCATCGTTAGATGGAAAGTTGATCTTAACAAAAAGATTTTGCAATGCTTTAAATATGAAGATGAAAAAGAAAAAAAAATTTCTCTTTTAAAATATCCTAATACTAAAGATTCTTCTTTCTGATGATTATCATGCAATTATGAAAAGCAATTTCACAGGTGTTGAAGTAAGTAATTAATTATCACATTAGCATCTTTTTTTAAAAAATCATACTCTAAAAAATGTTGTTTTTAGTAGTCTTCGACTTGGCAAATAAAAAAAAATAAAAAAAAACAAAACATCATCATTCTAAATAAACAAAACATCTCCATCAAAGAAGCTTATGAACATACAAAAGTTATTTTCACCAAACTTGATGAACCAATTATCATAAAAGGAACTGAAAAGCATTAAACCATTATAAAATATATTTTATGTATAATAAAAATGATGAATTTTACCAATCCACAACATACAATATCTATGATGATGAAACCCAAGATTTTATAATATTTTCTAATCACTACTGATAAATCATTAATTTCACAATGGAATTATGAATGATATTTAAAATATGATAAGAATTTAATTACTACATAAAGTCTAGTGATTATGTTGTATTCAATAAAGAAGATCATGCAAAAGAAGCTTTGATAGCAGCTGATCATCATCAAAATTCAAAGCTAGTAGTCTATTCATTAGAGTGCATTATAACAGTTTCATCATGTAGGTGTTATATCCCCAATTTGCTTTAATATTATTCTCATTACAATATTATTTTATTGTGATTATATATAATGCCTTATAGATAAATTCAAGGACAAAGTTTATATTTTATTTATGTGGATAACTCATTAGAAGAAGATAATGAATCAACAGAATTAAAAGTTTCCTAGATTTGATAGCTGATGGAGATGAAAATGAAGGTGAAACATTAGAAAAATTCAAATCAGCAAATAAACATTCAGAATTTTTGTTAGTCGTATGACAACGTTCATTCATCGATCTAGTTAAATTAATCATAACATTTTGTGGAATGTTATCCCATTCTTCTACTATAAACCTCTCTAATTCCGCAATATTTTTTGGTTGCCATATTTCCACATTTCTCTTAATGATAGCCCACATGTTTTCTATGGGGTTTAGATCAGGACTATTGGAAGGCCAGTCCATTACAGACGGAACATTTGCTTGGAGAAATTCTTTGGTTACACGGCTTGTGTGTTTAGGATTGTTATCCTGTTGGAGCATAATCATGTATTTTTCCGCAAAAATATCCGCAATCGCCAAATCAATTTCTAAATAAGGATAACACGCACCCAACCCACCAATAAAATTGGATATTTTCACGATGCTGCGCAAATTTGCGGATATTTTTGCGGAAAAATACATGATTTTTGTTGGAGCTGCCAATTTCTACCAAGCATCTGATTAGCTTCAGGAAGGTGATTTCAACATACAATGGGCCAGTCATATTATCACGGAAGCAAAAAAGACCGGTTTTGCCTTTAGCACAAAACCCACCTCATGCATTAATTCTTGTTTTGATTTTTTGGAATAAGATGAACTGGTCGTGCACCTTTGTACCAATACTCTACAGTGTTCCAAACAACCAGAAGGATGTTTCATCAGTAAAGAGTGTGCGGTTCTAATTATCGTTAATGTGATTTTGGGCCCATTCTACCCTCTTTTGTTTGTGCGTTTCCTTTAATGTTGTTTGACGAAATGTAAACTATTACGTCAAATTCGCTGCCATTAAGTCAAAATGATGCAAGTAAAATTGCCTTAAAGGTGAATAAAATATAAAAGCTTACAAAGAAAACTTGTAAATATATTTCCAAGGTCTTTTTTTCTTGCATATCCTAATCTCTACTTTGTTTCATGAGTTATTCCCCCAGAGTTAAGTTTTTTCTTTTGCCAAGTATAAATTCAGTTCACTCACACACACTAATTACTATTAAATTCGAACATTTCTTGCATTAATATTGATAACGTGATACTAATACATGATAAAATCATCGATTAGGGATTCGGTACTTTATGTTCAAGGGTTAACTAATTTTAGTGTATCAAATGAACCATTTTATGCAAAAGCCTTTTATAATTAATTGATCAAATTACTTTGCATCTTTATCTTTTATCCTTATTGTAGTGAAAATTTCATTAAGGATAACTTCTGGTCTTCGCTTGAAAAAGCATAACTTCGGGTCCTCGTAGAGGAAAAAAATTACATTCTAATAAAATAAAAACTCTGTGATATAATCGTTATTTTTATTAAATAAAATTTATCATTAATAAACTTTTAAAAACAAAAACATTGTCTTTATTTTCTTTGTTTAAAGTGCTTCAATAAAAGAAACAAGTGTAGTTAATGCCTTGGTAAAAGGCAACAATTGTAGAGCTTTGGTAAAAAGCCATGTTTTATTTGCTTTAGTGAGCAAGCAAGCAAGGTAAGGATTAACTAGTGAGTGTTAACAACGATTAGCAACATAATTTGCTTTAGTGAGTAAACAAAGGTTTATCGGAAATATTGATAGTATTATAGTCATAAACGTAAGGTTGTTAAACAAGCTACTTAAGCTATTTTACAAAGGAACTTTATAAACCATAATTGTTAATTAACCAAAATGATACCTCGCATATCATCATTTAACAAGAATCGAAAAATTTATTTCAAAATATTGTTACAGGATAAGAAATAAAATAAGGATGAAATAAAAAAATAAATAAAAGATAAAGAATAAATTTATAGTGGAGATTAAATCACTATTGTTACTAGAATCTAATGTTTATTAATTAATTGATTGATATTGTTAGTAATGGATAGTAATTTCCAATTAATTAATAAATGAATTTTTATTCACCTTTGTTAACATTTAGAAAAAAAAGAGTCACAATCAAGATTATTTAACAAACTATTACTTGTAATTTTTAAGCTTTTAGATTTAGCAATCTCTTCATCTAATATTCTACTTGTATGATATGCATCTGGATGTAATTTGTATACTTGTTGCAAAGCACCACTACCACTACTAGTAGCATGATTACCATTATCATCATTATTATTTTTAATAATTTCACCATGTTTATTTTTAGCAAATGTCCAAAGTTCTCCACTAGTTGGTCTTTTTGATGGATCCACATCCCAACACCTCTGCATCATTTGCACATAATCATCATGCATTCCAGGTAGTATTGGTGGTCGTAAACCCTCACATATATCAAAAATCAAATGATGATTGTGAGCTCTATCATCAAATGGTGGATGTCCTGCAAATATTTCCCACATTAACATCCCAATACTATATATGTCAGTTTCTTTGGTGTTCTTTGTATTCTTTTTGCCTCTAAGTAGTTCGGGTGCAACATATGATACAATTCTATAGACTTTATTTGATGACTCTTCATCAACTGGTCCACATAATCCCAAATCTGTAATATAACAACCGCCTCCTGACACAAGTATATTACCACTATGTAAACACAATGGATTAAATCTTTTTCATGTATCTGGTATAATGCATCACATAAATAATAAAAGATTGTAATTCTGTCTTTTAATGTTAAATTTAAATGATTGTTTTGCAAATGACTCCTCAAATTTCCTTCTGGACCATAACCTAAAACAATTGCATAATTTCCATTATCTGGAAATTTAGTTATACCATGGCAATCAACAATCAAACCCGATTTAATTTTAGAATAATTCATTGCCTATTGAATATAAAACCAATTAGTATTATAATACAATATTGTTTATTTTGTTTTAAATGACAACTACCAACCTCATCAAAAAAGGCTTTTCCTGGATTACTTGAATCATTTAAACTTTTTAATACTACTAGTTGTCCCCTACCTCCAAAATAACTAAATTCCTTTTTGTTTTCGTCATAATCAACAATAGTTCCTCTCATCCATGTAGCAGTATAAATCGAACTAAATCCACCTTCTATCAACTTTGTCACTTTTTTAAATTGGTCAAAAGGTATCCATTCTAAAATATGTTTTGGCAGAGATGATTTCATTTGACATTGTTGAATAAAATCATCAATTATGTTATTTCCAGATGTCCAAGTGATAAAAAGACTCTGTAATTGTAAACTAATACAACCCTCACAGAACCTATCAGGGTATCTTGTCAATTTACACTTGTTACATTCTTTTGGTTTTCCCACTTTATATGTTGCATTATCTAATTCAAACTCATAAATAAACTTTTCTTTACAATATTCTTTTTCTTTTTCAGAAAGTTCCTTGTTTTTTTTGACCAATGAAAAAAATAATCTTTTCTACTTTCTATATCACAATTAGCATAATGGACACTCGTTTTATCACTTTGTGACAAAATCGATTGTTGATCTTTTTTATGTTGTGAAACATGTGATT